TTTAAAAACAAAAATTGATATCTGGTACTGCAAAAATGTTGATATTATCATAGGCACAGATGTTATGCAAAGAAGAGGTTGGATTGTTGATTTGGGAAACAAAGCTATTTGGAAAGATGCGAAGGGTAGGAAACCAGTGCTATTGGATCCTACTGAATATGGGGAGTTAGGAATTGTTTGTCCAGTAGATGTAGTGTCTACTGAAATGCAATGGCCTAATACTAGGGATAACCTTGAACTTAACCCCTTAAGGACACATGACGTGTGACATGCCATGATTCCCTTTTATTCCAGACGTTTGGTCCTTAAGGGGTTAAAGAGATTGTACAGAGTTATGCAGATTTATGGGCACAAAGTAAAAATGAATGTGGAAGATTTAAAAATGTGCTGATTGACATTCAAGGTCCTGTTCCACTCCCACAGAGGCAGTATCGATTACCCCCAGATTCAATTGATTCTATTGCAAGTGTCATTAATGATTTGAAATAGAGAGGAATAATTAGGAAAGCAAATAGTCCATGCAATCATAATCTGTGGCCAGTGTTGAAAAAAGAAACAAATTCCTGGAGATTAACAATTGATTTAAGAACATTAAATAAATACTCACCACCTTCTGCACATGTGGTAGCAGAAACCCCAGATATGATGTCACGATTTATGTCAACGGCTAAGGTATACTCAGTACTAGATGTAAGTAATGGGTTTTTCTCTGTACCACTGAAGCATAGTTGTCAATATAAGTTCGCTTTTACATTTCAAAATTAGCAATATGTGTTTACTGTGTTACCCCAGGGTTTTCACAGTTCTCCAACATATTTTCATCAGGCATTGGCAAAAGTTTTGTCTAAGTTTTCTAGGCCAGAGAGCTTGTTACAAAATGTTGATGATATGCCTTTGCAGACTGAAACTGGGGAAGAACACCTGATTCTGTTAAATGAATTATTTTTCCTTTTGCAGGATTCTGGTTTAAAACTGAACACACGCAAAGTAACACTGATGCAACCAGAAGTACAATACTTGAGTGTACACATTGGTCCAGCACACAAGAAGCCAGCGCAGGAAAGAATCAAAACTATTTCTTCTCTTCCTGTTCTAACTTCACACAAGGCCTTACGCCAGTTCCTAGGATTAATGAATTTTTCCAGAGAATTCATTGAAGGGTTCGCTGAAAAAGCCAAACCTTTATATGATCTCTTGAAAAATAGTGAATCTTCATTTGGACCATGGACAGATAAACATCAGAATGCATTTAAGGTACTTAAAAGAGACTTACAGGTTTCACCTGCATTAGCAACAATACATCCAACTGCATCTTTTGCAATTCAAGTACATACTTCAGAGACGGCTGTCTCCACAGTACTATTACAATTGCAGCAAGAGATATGGAGACTAGTGAGATATTTTTCTAAAATTCTTTCCCCAGTGGAAAGAGGGCTAGAAATTTGTGCCAGGCATTTGGTAGGAGTACATTTTGCGGTAATGGCAACTGAACACATAGTGGGATTCAAGGACATAGTTCTGCAAACACCACATACACCTTTGAAATTACGTCTTGAAAAAGGAATTCCAGGTGTGTCACATCAGAGATTTTCACAATGGTTAATAGCTCTATCACCAAAGCAAATTAAGGTAGAACATAAGGCAAAGTATGTACTTCCACAACTAATGCAATATGAGGGTAAACCCCATGAATGTTTAGCAGAAGTTGAAGAGAATTTTCTTTCTCTTTTCAGAAAGGAAGCAAGTGAATCTGATGAACCTGTGTTTGTTGACGGGTCCAGATTCTGTTCAGATGGGAAGTACTATACAGGTTATGCTATGTGCTATCCAAAACAAGGATATTCAGTAGAACATAAATTGCCAGGTCATTTGTCAACACAGAGAGCAGAACTAGAAGCATTAAAAACAGTACTAACACTTGAGGAAAAAGAAGTGTGTCCCCTAGTGATATATAGTGATAGTTCATATGTGGTTAGATCACTAACAGAACATTTAGCTATATGGAAAAGAAGAGGTTTCGTAGATGCCTCAAATAAAGTATAAGCACACAAAGAGACACCAGAGACCATATTTGGAATTGCGTCTCAAGAACCATGTTTACATGCTATAGTAAAGTTCCTACCCATCAAAAAGGTAAAAATTTACTTAGTGAAGAAAATGAAATAGCTGATAAATTTGCAAAAAGAGCAGCTTTAACTGGTGAAAATGCATTGCAGACAGAGCCTAAGTCAGTAGCAGTGGTTAGAAAGACTAACACAGCCTCCATCTTTTGCATGAGAACGGGCAAAGGATTTGTCCCTTGCGGCTTCTCGGGTTGATCCAAAACCTCCATTTGTTCATGAGAACGGGGTTTTGTGTCATGACCAAAACGGAGAACTGTGTCCGGTCATGCCAGAGCATCTAAAAGTGTTATTTACACAATATAA